CGACCTCACGCTGCTGGCAAGCTCCACTCAGCATCGGTACAAAGCATTCCACTCGCCCGTGATGATTGACGACGCCCCCGTGACCAACGCTGGCGGCATCGGCTTCCTCGTCCCGTACGACAAGGCTGAACTCCAGCTTCCTCCTGAAGAACGGCCTCATCTCAGGTTTGAGGTCGTCATCCCTGGCCGAGCCGCCTGGCTTCGGGTCACGGATGCCAGCCTCCAGCATGAAGTCACCGTCCTCAACATTCACAACTTCGGCCTGTCGCCAGCAGATCGGCTCCACCTACGAGACCAATGGCATGCCCTACGCCAACACGCTGATGAACTCCCACAGCAGCGGCTTCTAGTCATCGTCGGCGACTTCAACGTCTCTGAGTTCCCGCCCCGATCGATTAACACGCCAGTCGACTCGGACACCACAGCGGCGCAGCGATACCAGTACCAGCCTGTCTTCTGGCGCAACTTGTTCCGCGACGTCATCGAGATTGCGACCCCCTCGACGACGCACAGATCCGAGGCTAATAAAAGCGAATCGACGATCGACCGCTGCTTCATCAACCTGCCCAGCCACCTCATGCCGTTCATGGAAACTATATACATCGCCGACGATGCTCCCCTCGAGAACTCCAAGGGCCCCATCAGCGACCACAAGATCATGCACCTGCGCATCCGCCTCCGCAAGCCCAAGCTGGTCACCGAGCGTGGCATCCCCGCGTACATCTTCGACACCCAACGTGCTAGCCACAATTGACATGTCCGTCCTCACCCCCACGGCGTGCTGGAGGGCCCCTAAGGCAGCCATGAGAGTTGCCGCCGCCAGAGCCCGAGACACGCTTTTCAAGATCCCTGCCGCTGAACTTTCATCACAAACTGCCACCGTCAAAAAGGAAACCAGAGCCATGACGCTACGCAGCATCGCCAGAGCCGTGTGGTACCAGAACGTGCCCCTCGCCCAGACTCTGATCGACAACACGGACATCGGCAAGCTGCACGTGAAGATTGACGGCCGCTCCGTCAGCATCAACGACATGCACGACTTCACCACGACCACCGACGCCACGCACGCGAGCCTCAGCGACGAGCGCAAGGCCCTCTCCGCGGCACGCTCGCGAGCCGCATTCGCCTCCAACAACGTCCCGCTCGGTCAAAAGTGGCGCCAGCGCGCCAAGCGTGAGGGCCTCCGCGGCGAGCTCTGGAAACCGTTCTCCAAGCGGCTCGTCCTGTCGGGCGTCAAGATCATCGCTGGCGGCGAGACCAACATCGTCTCCGATCCTGCGACGATGCACCAGGCCATCATGCGCCACTGGGCCCACGTTTTCGCTGCGAAGCATGTCGACGAAGCTGCCCTCTCCGATTACCTCGACTCGGTCTTCCCCCGGCGTGCGCTCACCCATCTTGACTTACCTGACGCCCGAGCGCTCGAGAAGGCTGCTCGCCTGGCTGGAGACTCTGCGCCAGGACCAGATACACTACCTTACAAAGCATGGCTACGCACCCCCGACAGCTTCGACATTCTCGCCGACTTCTGCCACGACATCGCCACCAACCGCGCACCTCCTCACGACCTCAACTACTCCCTCATGGCCATGCTGCCGAAGGGCGACGAGCCCTGCGGCAACGCTGAGTGCACCCGTGCTCCTGAGTGCCTACGTCCGCTCTCAATGAAGAACTCGGACGTGAAGCTGCTGGCGTCCGCCGCCAACCGCCAGCTTCACGCCCTCGCCGCCGAGACGCCCCCCGAGCAGCAGGGCTTCGTCAACGGCCGCCAGTTTTTGCGTAACGTCGTGGTCGACGCCGCCGCCCGACGTCACAGTCTCTCACCTAATGCAGCGGCTGACAAGCCCGTCTTCGTCAGCATGGATATCGCGGCCGCCTTCCCCAGCCTCGGCCACCACTGGATGTGGAACGTCCTTCAGCGCTGGGGCATACACGGACACATGCTACACCTGCTTCAGTCCTGCCGGTCTCTTACCTGGACCTGGGAGGAGCGCGCCGCCCACTCCTGATTGCAGCATCAGGAGTCGCTCAGGGCTGCCCGTTAAGCGGCACGATTTGGGCGCTCGTCTTCGACCCCGTCATCAGAGCCCTCACCAGCGAGCTCCTAGCCATCGAGCGCGGCCTGGTCAGCGCCTGTGCCGACGACCTCGGCATCATCCTCGCGAGGCTCGCGGACATCAGCAAGCTCGCGCCGCACATCATCGCGGTGGAGACTCTCGCGGGCCTGTGCCTCCAGGCCAAGAAGTGCATCGCGGTCCCGACCTGGGCGCTGCCCACACAGGACATCATCGCTGATATTCGCCAAGTACTTGCTGCCGCCCACGCTCCTTGGGCCTCCTTCAAGGTCGAGCCCAGCGCCCGCTACCTCGGCTTCTTTGTCGGCCCTGGTGCCACTCTTGCCGACCAATGGCGCGGCCCCGCTGTCAAGTGGTGGGACCGCATCGAGAAGCTAGCCGCGTCTCACGCTCCCATTCAGCAGAGCATCAAACTCTACAACGTCGCCGCCGTCACGGTCCTCGGCTACGTCGGCCAGCTGTTCGAGCCCTCCGAGGGCATCCTCCAGAAGGAGCTGCAGGCCATCCACAAGTTGCTGCGCGTCGCCCCCTCCAGCTTCGCGAAGTCCGACGTCCTGGCGATGTCCCTCTGGACCAAGGCTGAGGTCCCCATCGGCATCGAGAACTACCTGGCGGCCACTATGTGGCGTACTGCCACCACCACTGTGGCAGAGTGGCGCGACGCAGCAAACGCGCTCTGCGACGCTGCGTACGAGCAGCTCCCCCTCGTCACGGCGCAGCTCGGCCACTGGTGCAGCGAGTGCTGGTCCATCAAGACGTCCATCGTACAACGCTTCGAGCACATCTCCAACTCCACTTTCTTCGCCGATTGCAAAGGCTCCCACCTGAAGAGGCTGACTCGCACGGCTGGCCCCCTACCTCGCGCTCGAGCCGCCATGATTGGTATCCACAAGCGTGCTGCACGTGCTGGACTTCGGGCTCGTCTACAGCCACAACCCGATCAGCGCCGCCGCAAAGCATCACAGATCACACCACAGAAGGCCTACATGACGTTCCTCAACGAGCAGCTCTACACCGACACGATGGCGGACACCATAAAGCGGCGTCTCCTGTCCTGGTTCCCGTCCCTCGACCCCGCGAAGACGCTCACCAGGGAGCCTTCCAGCGGACCTCGCCGAAATGCCGAAGTCGTACAATAACGCCTAGCCGCACGCGCTCGTGCTTGGGCCGCCCACTGGCTACCCGACATCCTGCTCAATGACCGCACGATCGACAACTACTCGGACTGGATGCAGTGGTGCACGGAGTACCTGTACGAGCTCCTCGGCACTGAGATTTTTCGCCCGCTGTACGCCACTTCCATACGCCGTCGACAGATCGCTGCCGACATGTGCCAGCAAGCGTGGGACAACAGCGGTACTGGCAGAATCCTCTTCGAACATCGACTCTCAAGATCGCTGACCCGTTCTGAAGAACCGCGCAGCCTGATTTCGCTACACCAGCATGAAGCAGCCCAACACCGTGCCCGCCGCCGCTGGGTCGCCAACTTCCTCCCGTACCACGTGCCTGACTCCGACGTCAGCGACGAAGACTCCTTCGTGGGGGACGAAGACCCTCCTGACGACGGTGACGGGCCTCCTGATCTTCTACGTCTTCAGCGGGTTCCCGCCGACCTGCCAGCACGCTGGAAACGACTGCGCACCTACCTGGCGACGCAACCGCCCGCACGGATGTGGGCCACCATGAAAGCCCTCGCTGGCGCTTGGACAACCAGCTTCCGCATGCACGTCATCCAGGACAAGCGCCCTTGCCACTTCGGGTGCACCCACCAGCACGCCCAGGACAGCATCCAGCACTACCTCGTGTGCGAGCGGATGTGGCACCAGCTGAGCCTGCCCCGCGGCCAGCTGAGCGCCAACCTCCTCACGCGCATGGCGCTCTCCGATCTGACGGACCCGTTCGACGGCGAGAACGGCATACCGAACTCCGCCACGCGCCTCGCCGTTGCGACGCGGGTGTACCACCTCACGAAGGACGACAGCCAGCCCATGACGTACCACAGACAAAACACAGCCGTCGCTGCCGCTCGCCGCGCCCTCCAGCTTCCTGCTGATCTGAGTGGAAGTGCGGGCGCGCCGCGGCGTGGCTAGGCCCGAACGAACCTGCTCTCAAGGTTACGTTCGCTCCTCCTCCTCCTCCTCCTCCTCCTCCTCCTCCTCCTCCTCCTCCTCCCCTTCTCCTCCTCCTCCTCCTCCTCCTCCTCCTCCTCCTCCTCCTCCTCCTCCTCCTCCTCCTCCTCCTCCTCCTCCTCCTCCTCAGGTTTCGGAGGGCTCTGTCGGGGCGGAAAAGAGGGGGGTGATGACTAGGGGGGGGTGGCTTTCATGGCGCGGGCCATGATTTTTCCTCGGATTTCATGGCGCCTCTTCTTGTGTCATTGCGGTCCGGGCCCCCCCGCCCGGCCGCGCACATGCCGCCGGCCACGATTTGCACCCCCCTCCTCTTGGACACCCCCCTCGTGGCGGCTCCCGACGGACTTCTGGGGATTAGTTAGAGAATGCTCGAGTCGCCAGCCCGCTGGCCCCTCTCGACTCATTCCCGACGTACAGCTTCGCATCCTGAGTCGTTGTTTGACGGTCCTGGGGCTCGCGCACGACCTCCTCAGAGGCCGAAAATGGTGTCAGCAAATCTGGCATGATGTTTCCGGACGCCCAGGATCTGGGTCAGAGCGGGCACGTTGAGCCCTCCATGACTCTGCGCTCTGGCTCTCACGCGCCGGATTTTCCAGCAGTTCGGGAAGTGTTCGGA